TTTAACTACATGTTATCATCCTTTCCATACTATTTCCTACTGTAAGCACTAGATTATATTCTGGTTTATTAAAAAAACATTTTATAGATTCATATTCTATCAAATTAATAAACTTACTAGAATCTGGTTTCATGTGAACACATCAATATCCATGTTTCACATTTAATCTCAATTTTATTTGCCTGATGCCAATGTCAAGAGCTAAAAATTAAAATGGCTACAAAGAAATCTGCTGATGTGAAACTAGTGAATGAAAAAGGATGTCATGTAGTTATATATTTTTTATAATAAAAGATGAGACATGAAAGAAAAAGATAAAAAAGTAATTGTTAAAGTAAAAACTTTATGATACAAATTACTCATTTTTATAAATAATGGAGACAAATGTAAAATTAGCTTGAAGTTCAAATGTTCCTTTAACAAAAGTATAAATAATATTTACTTAATATTGGTTCATGGCATGTGTTATGTATCACTTCATTATGTTGATAGCTCAGATGTATTTGGAACCTTACATTCACATAGAAAGGAAAATATTTTATGCCTATTTTAAAAATTCTTTGTCCCTTTGACAGTTACCCATATTCCAAACTGAGGCAGATGTTGTACTTAATGTTTTGATTCAGAATGATAAATACCAGGGGTGCCAAAAATATATACACATTTTAAGAGATGTTCTCTCTATTACTTTTCGAAGTTGAATTGAATTACGGTAGCAATGTGTAGTATGACATTTGCTGAAAAGATGGCATTAATCAAATGAATGCTAGTGTCATTCATTGTATTACAACTTTCATACAGTTTCTTCCTTTCTTAAAATGTGTATAAGTTTTTTGGCACCCTCTGTATATTCACAGTTTACATATATTTTTGATCAACAACAGATAACGATCTTAATATTGGCAAATGAGGCAGTTTAATTGGCCATAAAAACTTTTATTTTAATCTATTGCTATCCTTGTTCTCCTATGATTCTTAGTTGGAATGTTGAATCCATAATTGAAAAGAAATATACATATATTTAATTTCAAACTCTATTTTTTAAACTCAAACACAATTTTTGAAAAAAATAAGTCTTCTATATCGTTTACACATGAAGATATTTTTTCAAGTAGTAACAACCAGGAAGCAAAAATACATAAACATTCTGAAATTATAAACTAAATATGGAATCTTTTACTTTTCAATATTCCAGCTCAAAGAATTTCTTCTTTCTCCTCTATGACAACAGATAATAAAAGAGAGGTATTCACTGACAATATAGTAATTTTATATCTGTTTTGTCTCTCTGTAATGGTGAGGTGGTACTTAAATAGAAGAAGCAATTTCTTCACCAGACAAGACATAAGCACTTACTAACTTTGTTCCATGTCTTTTATTGAGATCTACTTAGAAAGATGCTTTACTGTGTGTGCTGTTCAGTTCCATGTGGCTGACGAGGTAACAAATAGAAAAGACAGAAGCTGAGGGCCACAGGGGTTTGCAGTTGTCAGCATGGTGATAAGCCAGTGCTTTATCATCAGGAACTAAAGAGTACTTAAATGATACTGGCTACAGTTGTGGCCATAATTTATTGGCCTCGAGCGACTGTGCATGTGCCCTTACTTCCCTGATCTCAGTTTCTGTTTTGCTGGAGTCTGCATTATAAAACGTCAGTGATCTGCACATAGCTATTATTTTTCTAATATCAAAAGAATCGGAAAGAACACATGGCTTGAAAAATCAGGACAAATCCTGAAGAAAAAGAGTTAGAAAGTTAGTAAAATGATGCTAAAATGCAAATAAAATGCTACTAGAAAGGCTGTGGACAGATGACAGTTCAAATGGAAAATTTGAGTTTAGTAGGCCTGAAGCAGACCAATAAAGGGATGCTTTTAAATAATAATTCTTACGTTGCAACATGAATGAGTTGAAATAGGTCATCTGAAAATGTTTTATTTATTTGTAAAGTACATTCTCTGAAAGGGATTGATTTTGAAATCCTTATATACTAGGTCATGAGAAGTTTAAAAGATTTAAGTTTTTTAAAAACAATTTTTAAAAAAAATCTATTTTACCTCCCTAGGACAATAGCAACTTTGAAAGAGCTAATTTTTGACAGTGAGCCAAGCACTTTTGCCCCATGTTCTGAAGTTGCCATGACAGAGGAAATTTCTGAAAAACTACAATAAATGAAATATAAGAGTAAAATATTTCTTCTATGGACAGAGTCTTCCTATGATCACTTTGCCCCAGGATATTTGTTCCTATCAAATCTCAATGAAGAAGCCTAAAGCTTTTTTCTTTTCTTTTTAATTTGTGCCTCAAGAGAAAAAGAATGGTAACTGTATAAGAGATGGATGTGTTACTTAGCTTGGGTGTAATAATCATTTCACTATATATAAACATTATGCTGTACATCTTAAATATATACTTTTTTTTTAATTTAAAAAAGAAACAAAATGTAGAAATAACCCAAATGGCTATCAACAGATGAATGGTTAAGCAAGATGTGATATATTCATATAAGAGTATATTGCTCGGTCCTAAAAGGGATGAGATATTGAGATATGCTTCAACATGGATAAGCCCTGAAAACATTGTGGTAGTGAAAGAAGCCGACACAAAAGGCTGCCCATTGTATGATTCCACTTGTAGGAAGAATTCAGACAAGGTAAATAAATAGAGACAAGGAGGCAGATTAGCGGTTGTCATGGGCTAGGGGGGAAGTGAGGAATGGGAAGTGACTGCTTATGGGTACAGGGTTTCTGTTTGGGGTGATGAAAATGTTCTGACACTAGATAACGACGATGAGGTAAAGCATAGTGAATGGAGTCAATGCCAATGAATTGTAAAATTTTAAAAAAATTTGAATTATGCCACAGACAGAAGACAACTATCAAGAAAGTAGAATCAGGATCGATAACCCCAATCAGAACACAGTTAACATCTGGAGTTAACTGCAGGGTACGCTGGTGTGTGTTGTGAAAGGAATAGTCACGATTACTCCTGATCGAGTTCCTTATTCTAACCCACACAGACAGGGGGTCTGAAGTCATAGGTTGTGTTCTCCAAAATATAGATGCTGAGATGGAGATTTGCAGGCAGGTGGTTAGTGGAGGAGCGCTCTAAACAAACAAACAAACAAACAAACAAACAAATAAACAAAACACTTGTGAAAGAGTGAGGGAAGCTGGGTTGACCAGAGGAAGAAGGACGAAGCAAGAGAGACTGACTGACGTCTTCAAGAGAAGTCCCAACTCAAGGCAGAGAAATCAAGCCTTAGTTCTGTTGTTTCCAGTGGTCTTGGGTGTGAGCTCTTCCAAGGAAGAGTTGAGGGAGCTCCCTTTGGCCAATAACAGTTTTCAGGGGGCAATCTGGGCTATGAGTCTATTAATTAGCAACAAGCTCACTTCTGATAATTGTTCCTTGATTTCTTTGGGTTGTGTAGGTTGAGCAATACCCTTGCTAGCTGCCCACCTAGATTCTCCTTACAGTTCCATGTTCTATTAAAATCTCCATAGTTCTCCACTGATAAGACCCCATTAGCTTCCACTCCAAGTTTTCCATTTATTATCATAATTCTATCTAGCTCATTTCTTCTCCATAAGACCTCCCACCTAGGACCCCATCACCACTAGGGCTAACAGGGAGCCCAGTTTTATAATAACAGCACTTGCCAAAAATCCAGACCAATAAATAAAAGCTACCACTGAGCTTTTGAAGGACGTTGGTGCTCATCTCACACTGGAATATGAGATTCCTCCAGGCCCCCTCATGGGACAATCAGCTAGTGGTTATTCTGGTCTTATGTGATCATTGGCTGCAGGCTGCCCTCAAGGAAGGTGGTAACCTTGGGAAAAGGCAGTATTTGAGGAGGGACTCGTGTGAGCTGTCAGCAAACAATGTTTTCAGCAGGCATCTAGGGTAATGAGTGCTTAGTTCCTAAAAAGTGGGGGTTTGGGTGATGGGCCATAATATTCACTACATGGATCCTGACCTCACCTCTTCGGAGACATCTGTGTATTATCATAAAATCCATTGTATATGGATGTGGACATTGTGTGTGTGGTACAGTGTGTGTTTGTGTACATTTTGGAGAAGAGAAAAATGAGGGTAATTTGATCATCTTCCAAGGTGTTTTTGATGATGTTTACAGATAATTTCTTAGTCTGTAAATTCCTTGAGAGCATATAACTTATATAATATCTGTTTATTTTACTATCTAGAGATCTCTTAAAGGATAGACCATAAACAAGTGTCTGCTAAATAGTCTGAATAATCATAATACATGTTTGCCATTGGGTACATTACTGTAAACTGTGATGGGAGGGCTGACCAAGTGGCTCAGTTGGTTAAGTGCTCACTCAAGAGTGTGAGCTCTGAGCAACAGTGGTTCGATTCCCGGCTCAAGCTGAGCTGCCTCTGAGCTGCCAACAGGTGGCAGGATGGCTCAGCTAAAAATACCCAAACCTGTGATGGGTCTTTTGTTTTTTTTTCTCATTTATTTCTCTCCTTCCCTCCCTTCCTCTCTTTTTTTAATTCTTTTTTTCCTTCTCCTCTTACCCGCCATTCTTGTTTGGTTTCTCTTTTAATATTGATTGGGTATATAGTTTTTGTAGGAAGTTTTTATGTTTAGATTTTTAAATTTAGTTTTATTTGAATTTACATTTTTGATGTATTTATTGCAGAATTGCATCCAATTCTGAAAAAAACATTTAAAAAAATCCTGTTCAACCATAGAAAGAAAAAAATAGTATCTTTACACTAGAGACATCTGGCAGATACTACCTTAACTAGGTGATAAATTGTGTTGATATTGTATTGATATAATATACCCCTGATAGAACATGATGATAAGAGAATTTCAGATCTGTGGTGTTCTTTTTTTTTTTTTTTAATCTGGCTAAAGCGGGGCCAAGGGACTCCAGTTTCAAGGACTGAGCCCCGAATAAGGCCAATGCATACCTTTTATTGGTTATTAAGAAAGGAAGTGAACTTTGCCTCCTTCCGGCAGGTGTTTACATATTTTCTTCCACCTGTTTGACTTCAGATGACACGACCTTGCCAGCCACTCTTTCTTCTACGACTGTCTTAATCATCCTGATTTTCTTTATCTCTCTCTCCTCCAGGGTGCTTAACTGTGATTCTGTAATTATTATATCCCTTCCTCTTTGCAGAAGGTAACGGTAAGTCTCAATTTCTTGTTCAAGCTGGATCTTGACGTCACGGAGTTCCTGGTATTTTTGGTTCTCGTGCTTTGCAGTCGTCAAAATCTGCGACAGCTGAGCCTTGTAGGGCATTCAGCTCTGCCTGGATGGAGGCCAGCTTGCTATTATAATGAGCTTTGGTAGTCAGCAGTGTATGCTCCAAAGAATCTTTCATTCGGAGTTGAGACTTGAGTTCTATGTCCACCTCCTGGTAGGTGCAGGTCAGCTCCTTTATTTGAGCCTCAAATTCTTTTAACTCTTGAGTGTTTCGCGTGACATCTTGCTGCAGACCTTCTGTCTGTAACTGAAAATCTTGTTTGGCCTTCTGAAGGTTCTCCTCAGCCAAGGCTTCATATCTCCGCCTCATTTCATCGATGATGGCACTGATGTTCAGGCCTGGAGCAGCCTTTAGCGCCACGTTGACAGTCTTGCCCAGATGTTGGCGTAGCTTGTCCACTTCCTGCTGATGTTCTTTTTTGAGGAGAAGCAGGTCTTTATTCAGGTCTTCTATTTGAATCTCCAAGTCTGTTTTACGTAGGGATAGCTCATCAATGAGCTTACGCATGCCACAGATATCAGACTCCACTATCAGGCGCATCTCTCTCTCAGTCTCACGTTTTAGTTCGTAGTCCTGAGCAGTAAATCTACAATTATCAACTTGCAGGATCCATTTGCCTCTTTCCAGGTGAGCTTCTTTAATCTGATTTTTCAGGGCTTCGATTTGTTCGTCATAGCGTTTGTCGTTCCGGCTGGGGCTGGGCACTTTTGTTTCGTACCAATGCTTGATCTGCTGTTCATATTTAATGCTGGCCTCCTCCAGGAGCCGCACCTTCTCCAGGTAGTTTGCTAGGCGATCATTCAGGTTTTGCATGGTCATCTTCTCATCGCCTAACAGCAGGTTCCCTCTGTTATTATCATACCCATAGTTCATCAAGCGCCTGGAGACTGAGATGCGGGTGCCGTGGCCTCCAGCACCCCCATAGACGCTGGGTGTCACATGCAAGTAGTATATGCCCCCCCTCCTAAACATATTGCCGCTTAGGCTGACTCCAGAGCTGTGCAAGAAGGAATACAGGTCTCCGAGGCTTCTGTTAGTAAAATCCATTGGGAATTCTAGGAGGGAGCACCAGTAGCTTTGGTATGGATGAGCAGCGTCTGTCAGATCTGTGGTGTTCTTGAATAGCCATAATTCCAATCTCATCTTGGAAAAAAAAAAGTCAAACGTAAACTTAGTGTTGCTCCAAAGAATACATTTAAAGACTAAGACTTTTCAAAACTGTCAAGTAGTTGGGTGAAAAAAGGGAGAAAAAAGTATGAGATATCAATGGACACTGGAGGAGACTAAGAGAACATGATGACTGAATATGATGTGGTATCCTGGATTGTCTATTGGGACACAAAGATAGTGGAAAAATTGGTAACATATGAATAAAGTCTGAAGTTTAGTTAATAGTAATGCATTAATGTTAATTTCTTGGTGTTGATAAGTGTACCATGCTTAAGAAAGGTGATTAACATTAAGGAACTATTAACAATAGGGAACTTTTAAGTTTTATGACTTGAAGGTGACTCAGCTAATGAGGTTAATAATTAAATAATCATGGAAATTTTTCTTTCTCCAGAATTAGTGATACACAAGGTCTGACAATTAAGTTTAAGAACTTGTTGCAATGATGTTGCTAACCTTTTTTGATATCAGAGAGATTATTCATTATGAATTTGTACCAACTGGACAAGCAGTTAACAAAGTTTACTATTTGGAAGTGCTGAAAAGGCTGCGTGAAAAAGTTAGACGAGCTGAACTTTTCTCCAGCAATTCATGACTCTTGCATCACAAAAATGCACCAGCTCACATGGCACTGCCTGTGAGGGAGTTTTTAGCCAGTAAATAAATAACTGTATTGGAACACCCTCCCTACTCACCTGATCTGGCCCCCAGTGACTTCTTTCTTTACCTGAAGATAAAGGAAATATTGAAAGGAAGACCTTTTGATGACATTCAGGACATCAAGGGTAATATGATGACAGTTGTGATGGCCATTCCAGAAAAAAAATTCCAAAATTGCTTTGGAGGGCAGACTAGGCGCTGGCGTTGGTGCATAGCTTCCCAAGGGGGAGTACTTTGTAGGTGACCATAGTGATATTCAGCAATGAGGTATGTAGCACTTTTTCTAGGATGAGTTTGAGAACTTGTATGCCAGTCAGTGTCCAATCAAAGAAGTAGAACTAGTAGGAGAGAAATAGATGAGAGGTGGATGATAGGGATGGATAGATGGATGGATGGATAGATAGATAGATGATAGATAGGTATAGATAGATGATAGACAGACAGACAGAGAGAGAGAGAGAGAGAGAGAGAGAGAGAGAGAGAGAGAGAGAGAGAGATGATAGTACAGGGAATTGGATAAAGCAATGTGGGGCTGGCTAAACAGTCCCTGCAAGGCAGTGTCCATCTCTGATGCTGAAGCACAAAGCATTGCGAGCAGTCTGGAACCCATGAGCACAAGCTGGGAATCCCACAATCATGAGCTGAAACTGAGAAAACAGGAGGCAGGACCCCAGGATGACAAACTATAATCAGGTCCATGTCATTGTCTTGGACCTTGGTAATGAGCCTGCAGAAGCCAGGCCCTTCCTCATGGAGTTGACGTCTTGCTTCTAGACCAAGAACCAGAGACAATTAGGAAAGAGCCAGGGGGAAGGGAGAGAGAATTGCAGGCCCAGCTTCCGCTTTGTGCCAATGAAGTGAGTCAATAGATCAACAAAGACCATTGTGCTACAAAATAGTTGCACCCCACTTTCGGTCATTTCCTTGACAAGATTATTAAGCTGCAGGCAGCAGACTCTTTTCTTGAATTGTGTGTTATCTCCTGGAACTTTGTTTCATATAACAAATATTCAGTCTCCTTAGTATGTTGCATTCGTATCTAAATATAAGCATTATTTTCTAACTTTAGTGTCAAAAAATAAGAGTAATATAAGTCAGTTAATTACTATAGTGCATGTGTATTTTGTTTTTTATTAGACAGAATAAAGATGTTAATAGACCTTTGATATTTCTACTCATTTCATTAAATATGAAATGTATATTTATAAACATAAATATTTAACATAATACATTGAATATTTATGCAGTGCTTTGCTGCCAAAGTCCATATATGAATATCCATGGATTCTGAGATAATTTTCTGAATTGATGGACTTATTCATATAATGCAATGACTCTCTATTACCAACCTTTTAGTTATGATAGCTTTCAGCTATTAAGTGTGAGGAATTAACTCTCAGATGAATTTTGAACAAAAAGAGATCCTGGTAGCTCTTAAGATATGTTGTGAAGTGCTATGATGATACACTATTAAATTTATTCCAAAAGATATTTTTTAAATTGCCTGTGGAAATATGAATGCTTTTTTTTCTTTCCTTTTAATCATGAAACTTGCCCCAAGTTGCCAAAAATGCAGCCATAAGCATTCTTTAGAGAAGGCAGCTTAGTACTGTCAGCCATTTTATCTCCTCTGTCGTATGGATGATGTTTTAATCAGTAAATACACACATAAAAATGGAGCTGTAATCCTGCCTTAGTTACACAGAGGGTCTCCAGCTGCTTCTCTGATATTTGGAGCCTATCTGCTAAAGAAACTAGGCACACATGCATAAGAGAACATATTCACAAATTATATTCATTGCAAAGTAACACAATTATAGATGACAAATAATAAAATGATGAAGGTATACAAACCAATTAAAGGAAAAATAATAAAAAGACTATTTTGTTAATAATTTTACAAAGGTTAGATGACATCTATGGAGCTGACCCCAAAATATCTACCTGTTATTTGTTACATCAGGCTATTTTTCCAGAAGTGTATCATTAATTCACATTACTGTATGATCCTTTGCATATATTGATTTTTCTATGCCATACATAAAAACCTCAGGATACATTATTGTGGTCTTTACACAAAGGACCTGAAGACATCATTTTATGCATAAAATGACAAAGAGAAGAATAGCAGCTATTATAGAACAGTTAAAAAATCTTAAAACTTATGGTATATAAATAGGTTTTAGCTTTGCTTCTCAAGCAAAGGGAACTCCATTTAGAGCTTCACAAATACTCTATTGTTGTGTTGCAGGAGAAAGTTATAGTTGCACAGAAGAGAATAGACCTGAGTGAAAACCTAAAAAAATTATAAAAATATTTTATATGCAGCTATATTTATGTGTACTTTATAATCAAAGGATAATTATTAAACACAGATGGATGTGTCATACCTATTTTAAAAGAAGAGATTATGAATAATGAGGCATATCTGCTTTTTATGAACCCATAGACCAGTGGGAGAGCACATGTAAATAGCTAATTATAATATAAACATGATTTTAATGTTTTCTCTTCAGCTCAGTATTGGGTGTGTGAATGATTCTACCACTATTTGTTAAACCCCACACAGATACATCGTACACACACACACACACAGACACACACACACACACACACACACTCACAAATTCACATACTCAGATACATACTTACATGCTGTTTTGTATATATATTTCATACTGTAAACCAATAATGAAAATACATACTGCATCAAAATAGAGCCAAGCTAGCTAAGGAATTCTCCAGCTCTTAATTAGGGAAGAATTGCAAATTGGAAAAAACAAACAATGAAACACACAGACAATGCCTATGTAAGAGTGTGTTCATAGTATGTACCTATGTCAGCTCAGTAGTAGTATTATATACAACTAAATGAAACCCTTTTACTATACACTTATTAATATAAATATTTATTATCAAAAATAGTTAGGTTTGGATTTAGTAAAATGTACTACATATGTGAACTCAGATAATTATGTGAATCGATTCAGTTTTCTTATCTGTAAAGTATCTGGGTCGTAATAACTATTGCACTGCTCCCTCCTTCTCTGCCTTCCATCCCTCATGGAGCCCACACAACTCTTGTCCTCAAATACTTTTCTCAACCAAAGTGCCCTTTGATAGATGATTGGATAAGGAAGATGTGGTACTTAATACAATGGAATACTACTCAGCCATAAGAAAAGATGAAATACTGCCATCTGTGACAACCTGGATGGATCTTGAGATTATTATTGCTAGGTAAAATAAGTCAAACAGAAAGTCGAGAACCATTTGATTTCACTCATGTGTGGGATATGAAACTGAAAGCAACAAATGAACAAGGCAAACAAACCAAAACTCATAGGCACAGATAACAGTTTAGTGGTTACCAGAGGGGAAGGGGCAAGGAGGGAGGTGGATGAGGGTAAATGGGATCAAATAGATGGTGATGGAAGGAGAACTGACTCGGGGTGGTGAACATACAATGCAATACACAGATGATGTATTATAGAATTGTACAATTGAAACCTGTACAATTTTATTCACCAATGTCACCCCAATAGAAAACAAAAAGGATTCCCACCAAATTCTGCCCCCTAATGTCTACCTCAAATACTTCCTTCCAGGTATTTCTTCTCTAGCCACTATACATTGAGTCCTAGCTCTAGCTGACCATTAGTCTATCCTATTATCACTTTAATTTTTTTCAGAGCACTTAGAACGTTCAAAAAATTATTTTGCTAACTATTTTCTTATTTATCCCCTGTCTCTCCTCACTGACCCTTAAACTCCATAAAGGTGAATAACTCACCTGTTTTGCTCAGCACTACATTACTAGTTTCTACCTGGTGTCTGGAACATAATGGGGTCATGAATAGTTATTGAATGTAAGAGTAAAATATGGAAAAAAACACCTGGCATTAAGCTTGGCACAATGAAAATTTCTATATAAATTCCTTCTAGGAATACCTTCTTATTTTTTATATTCTAAATTGGGCCCTGTACATAATAAATATTCAATAATTCAGGATTCGTTGAATGAATTCCATGTCAGAGTGTGGAATGCCAATTCAACTTTACAAGACTGATACTGATGCCATTAACAGAATTGCTTATGTGGCAATTAGCATCATTAAGATAAATTAAATTAATGGATTAGATATCCATTTCTTCAGTCTTCAGAAAACTGGCATGGATGATTACAAACTTTTCACTAGCTTAACAACACTCATCAAATCAACATTTCTCATAGTCTCATTCATCCAAAACACACATTTCTAGAAGTCAAAAGATTAGATCAGTCTAAGTGATATTGAAATTTTTTTCACTAT